GTCATATCCTAAAAGGTTATGCGATATCTCTCTATTCATCAAAATCATAAGATTGAAAAATGATTGATAGACAACAGAAAAATGCCCCCCTCTATGCGATTCTCATTTTAATTTTAACCCAAAGCTTGGTTATTAATTGGTCTAGTAAGCTTTTTCTTCCTCAAATTACGGCTTAAGCGAGTGCCACGCGCCCTCCTCTCATTCTCTTTCTCAATTCTCATATTTATTTTGGCTCTACAAGCTAAAGCTTAATTACCATCAAGTTAGATTTTGCTTTCTTTAAAAAAAGTTTACAACTTCTATTTTTAGACACAACCAAAAGCAAATTACTTACACTAATTACAAATCGAAACATCAAGTTGTGCTTGGTTTGGGTAAATGCCCAACTTTGTGAACGTCTTTCCAGCCGGCACTTTTTTTAGCTCAACTAAAAACTTTTTAAAGCCAAAATTAAATAATAATCGCCTGCCCCACCAGATTGGGCTTAATGTGGGTCACAGAACCACAGCAAAAACGTTTTTCCAGCTACCTTTTAGACCTGTTCAAAGGTTGCGGCACTCAGAATTGGCCCAAAAGTGCGGAAAAGCTTTTTGTCTGCCTGTATCCTGTGTGCGGGAGTATCTGTGTGTGCGAGGTTGTGTGTTTGAGTGTATGCGTGTGTATGTGCATGCGTTTTATAATCGAATTAATTAAAATTTTGCACACTGCCTGCTCTGCCATTCCTGCAGCGAGCTCTTTAATGCTGTAAACGGTGCTGATACACTGCAAAAAAAACTCAGCAACTTTTATACATTTTTTCAAATGCCATAATATTATAAAAGTATATATTTTTGAAATTAATTAAAATATACTGAACTTAACTTTTAGTCAATTCGCCTTTGTTTTCTCAGTGTATTTTGACTAACTTATTCAGAGTTTTATCAGTGTTGCTTGCTCGCCATCCCCGACGTCTGCTCTTTCTCTGTCTAGTTTTTCTCAGTGTATAAATTTAGTAAGCTGCCCGCATGCTGCAGTTGCTGCTGTGCCTCGTTTACCGAACAGCTCCTGCTTTGTTAAGCGAAATTTCCAATTCACTGAACTTTTTGTTGCTGCCTAACACCCCGCCTTCCTCTGGTGCTCGCTCCTGTCTTTATTTGAAACACACCACCACGCTCCACCTGCCCCCTTTTACGCCTGCTAAACAAAAGCTTTTGTTGTAGCCACAAATTTGGGCCACAGCAGAAAAAGACAGACGTATCCATATCAATGCTGGCTGCTTGCCTGCCGCTTGATAACTGTTTGGTCAGTTGGTGTCCTGCGTAATCGTCACAGTTGTCAGCAGCAGCAGCACCAGCTGGAGCAGTTGACAGCTCTGTTCAACAGCAGTGCACTGACGTCACAAGCCAAAACTCAGAGTTTCTGACACGAAAATACCTATTCTAATATATTACAACTAATTATATGTGGCTTAAAATCAAATTAGAACCAAGCTCGTAAAGATAGCTGCATAAGAGATATGCTTCTCAAATGACTTGTTCCCTAGTTTCTGAATAAGTTAGGCTAATTTAAATGAGCCGTTCATTTGAACTAGTTTTCTATGTCTGAATTTTCCCTAGAGTCGAATTAGCATGCTAGCTTAGCTTTGCTCTTAGCCAACAGCTCTTTAGGGAACGCAAATTACGTATACGCCGCATTACGTATACACCGTATTGTATTGGCAAGCAAACTTTGCCTTTCATGCCTTTCATCTCAACGATGTTTCTATTATTTGAGCATCCTGTGCCTGTTTCTCAGCTGTTGCTTCGCATGGACTACAACGCGTGCTGTTTAATTTTATTGCCTAAATAATTCATGAGTTTTCGTCCATTGGGCTGCTTTGGTTTTGGTTGTTAACGGCGCTTATAAGCCGCTTAATGGATGGCCAAATAAAAGGTCGTCATATCCGCTGCTTACAGTGGTACTTATACAGATTGAACCATAACCTTTAGTTATCTCTCTAGATATATACGATTTACATAAAACTTTTGCGACAATTGTAATCCGCGCTAAATCGAAAGCAAAAACAAATACATGCCCGGAAACTCAAAAAATAAAGGAATATTTTGGTAACAACATTTTGCTACGCATGGAAAGCAGCCAAAGAAAAACAAAAATGAGAAAGAGATGCTGAAAGTACAGATAGATGGAGACCAATCCGCATAAAATTAACACATTTTAGCAAGGCAATTGATAGAATGAAAGAAAACTCCTAGGAAACCAAAAGAAAGGTCGCTTTAAATAGAAGTAATTCTATATTATTTACGGCTACGACGCAACTAAACTGAAATTTCCTTAGTAAAGCTGCCCATTTGCTGCTAAATAACTTTATAAAATTAACCGTTTTGACACACAACACTTACGATGCTAACTGTACCCACCATTTTGAACGTTGTAGGGGTTGAGTTGCTCTTTTTGTTGCCTTCTGCCTCTTTCTCTCTTTGTATCTGTCTCTTTCTTTAATCTTGTGTCAATATAGCGGTCAACGGCTATGGCGACAACAATAACAAATTGGGCGAGTTGGCATTAACTGTTTATTGGCCGCACTAATCACGTACCGGCGAATATAAACAAGGCGATGACAGCTGTCGGTTCTAGTTGTTGTTGTTAGCTGTAACTGTAACTGTAACTGGTACTGTTGCGGCCGTTAGTTTTGTGCCATTCACTGTTCGATTTGATGTGTTGAAAACGATGACAATTGTGTGAGGCGTATCATAAACAACAATCAATCAACGGTGCACGCAACGCGACTGTAGCGGACGGCAGCAGCACAAGCAGTGAGCGCACAATATGAGAAGTGTAACAGAAGATGGCAGCAGATGGCGTTTGACTAAGAGAACGCACGTACTCAACACGCAGCACAGTTAACAGTTAACAGCAGCGACAGCGACGACGATTGCAAACTGACTAACAGTAAACAGCAGCGACGACGACATGATGACCTTCACCAACACGCACAGCCCAAGGAAAGTGGCCAAAAAAAAAACGAAAACTTTTCGCACACATACAAACACAACAACAAACCTGTGACGCAGCTGCGACGCCGACAGTAGCAGCAGCAGCAGCATCAGCCTGAACAACAACAAGCGGCAGCAACAGCAAGCAAAAGGGCGCCTGGCAAAAGCTTCGGCAGCGGCTTCGTATTTTGATTCCGATTTGCGCTGCGTGCCGAGAGTTGCCTTTTTTTTCAAATGCAAAATTGCCATAAACTTGCAAAAAGCTGTTCTCTCGTATTGTGTGTGGGTGAGTGAGAGCTAACACGCGTGTGCTTGTGTGTGTGTGCTTGGGTAAGGCTCAGTCACTCTCACGGCTCTTGGGGAGTGAGAGTGAATGAGAGCGCAATGTAAACAGACAGGAGTTGTCAGTTTAGCTACTTGAATATATTATACTGTGCGTGTATGCATGTGTGAGTGTGAGTGTGCGTGTATTTTATATTCCTGGCAGGCAAATGAGAACGCTTCGCTCTTGCAAGGTGAATATGGGCGGGTAATATAATTTTGTAAGCAAATTTGTAACGTGCTTAAGTGCATATGAATATACATGAGATATCTGTAATTTTTATATATATATTTATAACTTATAGGTTCACTTAAGTATATAAATATTGTTCAAGTAGGGTGTTAAAATAGCACTCAATTATATTTTCTATAGATGCAAGGGTATTTCAACTTCGACATTTGTTGTTCGGCTTTTTAGTACGTTTCTTTGCCGCCTGAGTCGCCACATACAGCAGCTGCAAACAAATCAAAGCTTTTGCTACTAAAATAAGGCAGAGCAAAGAAGAGAGAGAGAGAGACAGGAATACAGCAAGCAGAACGCAATATTTAAAAGCTTTCAAACCATAAAAAACAACGAGCTGCATCAAGTGCACTGTGTGGGTTGATAAAATGTGTGGGCAGGACTGCAATAAGAAAGCTCCCAATTACGATCGCATATATACGTAGGACTTACAATATCCTCCTCCGGTATGGTGGTGCAAGAGGTGCGTACATGTCGCACACGATGCATTGCATCCAAACTCAAGCGATGCTCATGGTCATCACGCAGCATGGCATCAAAAACAGCAACGCCGCCGTCAATGCTGCTCTCCCGCAAAATGCGGCCGCCGCGTCCACTAAAACTCCCACTGCCATGCTGATGGGTAGCGGCATAGCGGACGCCCACCTCCGAGAAGGAACGAATGCGCATTGTGCCATTCTCATCTGTGGTGAGGGCGACCGATTTGAAACGATCAATAACCGCATCCTGAATGCTGTTTACGCTCAGCTGATTGCCCATGGCGGGCGATACGATACAACAAACTCGAGTTAACAAAATAACGGTGTAGACAATAGCTGCGGTTAGCTTGAATCGCACACAAAACGGGCGCTTCTGCACGGCGCCAAGTTGTTTATCAAACTGAAGTCCGGCGCGAGCATTCAACAGGCAACAAGCAAAGCAAGCAGGCAGGCAGGCAGGCAGGCAGGCAGGTAGGTAGACAGGCTGCTTGGCTGCCTGCCTGGCATTCGTGGAGAGCAAAACGGGTGGGTGTAGCAGCAAGCAAAGTGAGAGAGCGCGCGTAGGCCACAGGTGCTGTTAGCGCTGCATTGTGATAATACAAAAACTGCACTCGCGTCAGAACTCTGCTGACAAGCAGAAGGCAGCCATTTTCAGGAACCATTGAAAGCTTTTAAGCTTCTCCAACGCCCAATGCAATAATGCAAGCCACAACCTACGCACATACACACACACACCCACATATCAGTAGTCGGTGTTTATTTATGTATTGAAGCGAGAGAGGCGAGAGCTATGTATGATTAACCACTGAAGCATCTCATACGCTATACCCGTTATTTTTTTACCGTTTTTTCTAAATATGTTTATGTTGTGGTCACTGCAGCCCCAAAATAGACCAACAAGCGATATATTGATTAACAATGTCGAATTTCAGGGATGAACAATAGCAGCCAATATTTAGGGTAATAAAAAATGGAACAAATGATAACTGTATAGAAAGCCACAATATAATTTGATACATACAACATTAATAATTGTTGGCAAGCAATATACTTTTTACTTCGCAAACGAGCAAAAATAATGAATATCTGATTCAATTTATCCAACTCCTATATATGATCTTCACCCTTCATATTTACTAGTGACGAAATCTACGCTGTATGTGTATGTGGGTTCCTCAGCGAGTAAAATTTCTAAAAAAAAAAAAAAAAAAAAACCAGCTGAGAAAGAGGCAGTAAAATGACAATCAGATGTGTTGGTATACCCTATGACTAACTGGAACGACGTCCGATTTGGTTTTATTTTTTCGTTCGAACTCGCACGGGTTTCCGCCTCGGTTGATGCATCGCATTCAATTTCCCGTTGGCACTTGTCTTAGCCTTCGCGGACTTTTTTGCAATTCTATTCGCATTCATTCGGCAGTGGCTAGTCATAGGTAACAACAGATCAACGGCTAGACGAGCCCCTATATAAGCATCCTAAGATAAGGAATACAGGATATTTTCGTATTATTTGTATGTAGAACTAGCCGGTAGTGCTCGTGCGCTCTATTCACCTCTTCGAACATTAAACGCTCCGATCTTCGAAGAATCCGCCAAGCTTTGGCTGCGTCGCAGATCAATTTTTGCGGTGAAATTCTTCTGTCATCACAACCCAACCAATATTCTCGTAGAAAATTATAATAGGGACACTTTGTTAGCAACACGGGTACATCATCCATTATCAAACGAAACGAAAACTAACTGAGCCAATTATAAAACACTATACTTACTCGATAAAGTAAGTTAAAATTTTTGTAAAATATTTTCTAATAGTGTAATGTTGTTTAAGGGTTTAGAGCTGCTGTTTAACTGAGTTCAACTGTGAGTAAGATTTAGTTTGACAATTTTCAGAGCCTTATTTCATAGCCATCTTGGATGCATGATAAAGCGAGAGTCACGACTGTTTGACTAGCCTAAGATTCTTTTCTTTAGTTAGTTTCGAATATGGACAGACACCGGCGAGCAAGAATAAGCTTAACATTCAGGTCAATATTTTTTTATTTATGGGCAACTTGGGCTATAATTTGCTATAATCGTTGAATATAGTCTTTAAAACTTAGGAAGGAACTAGCGATTAACCCAATACAGCATTGGTATATCATAATCAAGGGCGAAGTGAGAGATAAGATAGAGGGAAACAGAGAGAGAGAGAGAGAGGGAGAGAGCCACCACAGCTCCAAAATTGAAATGGGAATTTGGTGTATTTAGATCCAGACTTCACAAGAGATGAGCAAAGATACGTTCAGATTGGGGGTCTCATTCTATATTAATTAAAATAATTTAAATCAATATGGATCGTATAATAAAAAACAGTCGGATTAAAGGCAATCAAGCTATAGTAACCCAGAATTTTCCAACAAGACGAAATACAGAGAAAAAGAAACAGGGAAGAAACATCAGAACACAGTACGTAACTCAAAAGCTCAATGAAGCAGCAAAAAATTAGATTAGAAATTAACAAGCATTATTTTCAAAAAAGTTGCAAATCTTACCCGTTCCAGTTTTTGAAAATAGTTGCGCAGGAATTGGACAGGATTGTCCGGTCGGCAGACGCAGAGCTGGACGATGCAGTCTTTGAGGACGCGCTGAATGCCATGCGATTGTATATAATGTTCGCATTCGCGCAGGCTTTGCTCCTCCAGAGTTTTGGCCATCATGTAAGACATGTGTTGAGGGTGTGCGTGTGTGGGTGTGTGTGTGTGTAAGTTGAAGGTAAAACGTTGAAGCTGAATCGTTGTTGCGGTTTATCTTCACTCACTCTGCAATACGCAATATGCACAAAGCTATATACGTCTGTGTAGTATGTATGTGTGAATGGATGAGTGTGTGTGAGTATGTGGGTGTATGTTTGGCTGTGGTTTTTAGCTGCTATTGCTGCAGCTGTTGAAATTGCAACACACTACAACAAAAATTCCAAGTAAATAACTTATTGAACAGGGGCGTCGAGTGCAACGCGAGCACCACTTGTATATATGTACATATGCATATGTAGTAATGTACGGTTGTATGAATGTATAGCCTTTTCTTTTTGCTTTTGGCACTGTTTTCACTTTTGCAATTCACGTTGTTTAACAGCGCTGCGATTTGTTGCTGCCGTTTATTGTTTGCCTGCCCGTTTGTTGTACCATTTAGAACAATAGTTGTGCGTTTACATATGTGTAAAATACTCTATATTTGTTTTGTTTTAAAAACTTAACTAATTTTCACGCACGTAAACCACTGCAGTTGTTGTTGTTGTTTTTGTTGTCATATAGTGATGGGTGACCAGTGTGAACAGATGATCGTAGAAAAATACCGAAACACGTATAAGTCAAGCATGGTTATCGATAATACAGGCACGATTTAAGCTTAACAGCACTTGCAACCGAATTTGTTTTTATTATTGTATTAAATACCATTGAAGTATAAAAAATTAAATAATATATATAAAAAGTATTATTAAAAATCGCTTTCTTAAATACTTTTGTTAAAAACATATTAATAAATATTCCCATTTGCTTGATAGATTAAAACGATATAAGTTGCCGCTTAAAAATACCAAATCTTTCATTATATCGGTTGCACCTATCGATAATGGATTCAAATTGAGTGCTTTCAACACTCTTATTTGATTGTCAACCGAACGCGCTAACTTAAACATTATAATTTTTATGAAAAATATTTATACAAGCTAAAAACGTTAGCTATGTGGATGATGCAAGTGAGCAGCAGTTTCTTGTGCCGTCCAACAAAGGTTGGTTGCTGTGAATATTGATGTATATTAGAAATGTGCAGTTACACACGTATACTGGTTTATTGATTTTTCTCGCATTTAGCTAAAATGCTGCACACGGATTCATTGCCCAATCATCAAGGTATCTACACGCCACTAAGTCAGGCAATGACCGATTCTGAATCCGATGAAGAAATTGAAATACATAATTCTAATAAGCATCGACACCAGCAGCAGCTACACCAGCAACAATTGCAGCTAAAACAGCAACATCAGCAATTGCAGCTGCAACATCAGCAACAATTACATTTGCAACAGCAACAACGCAATCGCATTCGCATACCACCTAACACTTTAGCTTTAAAATCGCTACACACACAGTCGAGGCAACAGCAAAATCAAAATAGACAGCAGCAACAGCAACCATTTAACAACAGCAGCAATTATACCACCAATATGCAAAACACATTTCGTTCGGTTATGCTCAGTGATTTGGGCAGCAATGCCGCCAGCAATGTTGGCGTTGAGTTCTCCAATTTTGGCGCCGAATACGACACAAGTGCGGATAATGTCGCCATATTGGGTCATCAGTCTGATCAATCTGAATCGAAGCGCTTGCCCATGTCCACGAGGAGGCGTTGCTGCTTTATAGCTTCACTGTTACTCTGCCTGTTCGCTGTGGTTGCCTTTGTATGGATCGTTCCCTGTGGCCAAGCGGATGGCAATGGAGCTTGTCCAGCGCCCGTGGATCGTCAAAAGACGCGTAATTGGTTTAACAACTACACCAAAATCGAGCTCAGAGGAGGAGTTAATGTTGTCGCTGGTGTGCGTGCCTGGGAGAATAATTTAATATTTCTTTATCGTGGTGATGTTTTCTTTCCGGAATTTCGACCCAATAATCATAAACGCAATGGCATTATCTCACTAATTGGCAGCTCCGGGGCTGTAGCTTGGTATGACGAGACTGTGGATGAGCCCGTGGCAATTGATTGTACCTTACTCGATGTGGATCTCAATGGCAAGCCGGACTGTTTGGTCATCGATGAGTATGGCGAAGTGGGTGCAATTAATTCGGGAAGTGGTGAATGGCATTGGCGCTTCAAGGATCATGCAGCACAGAAACTAAATGCGTATGACTTTCCACTAATACTGCCAGATATCGATGGCGATGGTGTGTTAGATATATTGCTTGTATCCAGTCTTTCATTGGAGCAGCGCACCAAGACACTTGTCCAGCAGCAACAACCCCAGAAACAACAACTCGAAGCACGCAACGTGCTACGACTTCTATCGGGTCGTCGAGGTCGACCCATCGGCGAGGGCTTTCGTATACACGACTGCCAGAAGCTCAGCCGACTGCAGCTGAACGTCAACAACAACATCAGCTACAGCTGCAGCTCCAGTAAAGATCAGCAGCAACAGCAACGTTTCAAGAGCCTCGCCGAGCTCTATGCGCTAATCACCAATAAATCGCTAATGGGTCGTCGTCTGTTGCCCGCCTCAAAGATTGCTCAGCACCGCAAACAAATGGATGTACAGCGAAATGTTTATCTGCTCAGTGGCAGGGAATTGATACTCGAGAATCGTGGCAAGTGTCCCGATTGCAATGTCACATTGCAGCTAAGCGAAATGCGCGATGGTCGTCGGCATATGCTGCGCAATTTAACGGAGAACGCAGTGTACGGCATGGTGCCAGCTCAATGGCACTTTAAGAACAGCAAGTCAAAGATGTCTGGCTTTGTCATCAAGTTCTGGAAGTGGAACAGCATAGCCAAAGCAAAGCAACCTCCTGTGAGCAACAGCAACAGCGTTGAAAAGATGAACAATTACACCAACAGCAGCAGCAGCAATAGCTCCAAAAATCTGAATAGTATAAAGGAAAAGGATAAAAATAAGGACAAGGACAAGGACAAGATGTACTCAAAAAATCAACAGCAACAGCAACAGCAGCAAAAGAAGCAACAACAGCAGCAGCAGCAACGGCTTAAAAGAGATGCACTCGCTCATCAATTTCCCGCCGAGCATGAGGAATTCGATCTCTTTCATCAAATACAAAAACGTGAAACATTTCAAAATCAGAGCAAATCTGTTGGCGGCCTAATGAAAAACTATAAAATGCAAATGATAACGGAAACAGTTATATTGGTATTATTCATTGGTGCCGATACGCGCATCGAGAACACCTCACAGAGCAATATCATCCAATTCTGCCGCAACGAACGCAACGAAATGATTTGTCAACCTGATTTACTCAATCAAGAGAATTCCATGTTGATTGCAGATCTCGATACGGATGGGTCACAGGAGTTGGTCTCCTACCTGTCCACGTTTGTGAAACCCAGCGAATATCCCTACACAGACTATAAACTGATCAGCTATGTGCGATTGCTGCGCATCCAATCCGAGCTGCCTGCCTTTTATGAGCAGGAAAAACTTAACTAGGAGCAGTGTTAGCAGGAGCTGGAGAAGATGTGCATTTAAAACACACTAAATTAGTCTACAAGAGGTTCAGTACTTAGTAGTTAAATTGCTAGTTGCATTGACAACATAACGTTTATAATTAACAATTAATAATTGTACTATACTATAATAATATTAAATAGTAAAACTTTTCTAGTCTCAAATAAAGCGCTCGATGGCAAATAAAATTTTTAAATGGGGTAACTAGTTTATAGATTCAATAAGTAAGATACGCAGAATAGTAAGAAGATAGGTCAGAGTAAATACAAAAGCTCTACTAAATAATATGTTCTGAATAGCATTCAGTTATAAACTATATCGTGAACTGGTAACTACACAGTTAGGTCGAAAGTTATTTAGACTACCCTAGCATTGAGATATATATATATCCAAATTGTATGCAGATTAGAATGCATAATGAAATAATGCAACTATATAAATCATGTTTATGAGACCATATAGATGCAAATCTATATACATGAAAATATCTCTTAAAATTAAGATATGTGAATGAAAATCAAAATATACATACATCAAATTGCCTATTGATCATAGTAAATAAAAGATAATGAAAATATATAAAAAGAAGTTATAATATAAAAGTTCTTATAATAATGTTTCCACAAATCGATATTAATCGATGTGAGGCAGAGTTATTAATGGATTCATATACAATAAAAAAGATTTGTATGTAGTTGTTACACTTTTCGTAACCTAATTAGAATAGAGATTTATATTGCAACTAAATTTAACTAGTTACGAAATTTCGCAGGTTTTATTTACTGTTCATTGTTGTTTTTTCTAAAAGAACATACTACCTTTTGGTAGGTAGGTTGATAGGACCTTAATAACAATCTTAGAATTCCACATCATTAACATAACGTTTGTAATTGGCCTGAAAATTGGCCGATAACCATTGCTCAGTTATGATCTTAAACTCAGCTTCGAGGCGTTGCAGGGACGCCGTATTGGCCGTTTGGTTTAGCTTCTTGAGTGAACGATAGTGCTATAATAGTATATAAGAGTTATTAAAATATTTATTGACAGTAATTAAGGTAGCTCTGCCCACCTCGGCTGTGGTGTTGGAAATGAGTTTAGCCACCGCCAGAGCCTCCTCGTTTACGTTGCGCGGTTTACAGGCCTTGTCTATAAAGCTGATCGGTGAATCAATCACGTCCGATGTGTGCAAGCGTTCGCCCAGTAAAAACAAACGCGTTTGCTAGCAAGAAAAAAGTAGGATTAACAAGAGAATTTAAATATGAAAGTGACAAAATACTCGTTCAAGATAATTGCAATTAGGCAGTAAAAGGATAATAATAACGGACACAGAGACACCAAAACAAACCCAAAATTCGAGACATATTTAAACTTACAACTTGTGTGGCGATCTTTTGGTGTTTGTGCCAGAAGGCAAAGCCTTCCGGCAGCTGTCCAAGCTTGGCATAGTTCGTTTCAAAGCAACAATCATCAGCTGCCAGAACATAGTCGAACAGTGGCAATTGCATGACGCCCAAATTTTTGAGATTTCCGACAATGCCAGCGATCAGAGGCTTGGGGAATGTAGCCAAAGTGCGCAGATATGTTCTATTAGAAGATAAATCAGATATTAGAATATGATCTGCAACAGTCACATCATCTGCAGCTTACTTTAAAACCAATGCCAATTGAGTGGCATTATTTTTTCGCTTTTCAAGTGTGGCAGCCAGTAATTCCTGGCAATCGATGCCCTGGCAAAACTGTTGACCTTGCACACTGAGCAGCACTGTATTGCAGTCATTGCTTTTGGCCAATTTGTTTAACATTTCATTAAGTTTTTGCAACAATTGTACTTTGTACGTATAGCCCGTTTTGGTCAGCTGCGTATTGATCACCAATTGAGTAACCTTTTCGAGCTTGTGCAAAGTCACCAGCTCCACTTTGGTTGCTTTCAAATCCTTCGCCTGCAATGCTCCTCTTTTAAGGTCATTGGCCAGCGTTTGCGGTGCGGCGGCGCCATCGCTTCTTTGGTTTGCTTTATTCTCCGGCTTCAGGAAGATAAACGATGGATCCATTGCTGCTGCATCGGCGGCATCATCCGATAAACTAGCCACAGTGCCAGGCTTATTATCCAACGATGAGCGATTTACAGAGGCATTGCTGGAGTACGAGCTATTGGAACGCCGGCGCATTATCATGGATTCCTCGCTGGCACGCTGCTTGTACACATAATCCCAGGAATCGGACGGACGTTGCTTTGTCGCTTTAGCAAATACAGCTTCGACGGCAGCTGAGTTGTTGCCCGCTTCTTTTCGCTTTCCGGCTTTAGGTGGGGTTTCTTTTTTAGTGGGCGTTGGGGTACTCGTAGGTTCAACTGCAATTGCAGTCGCTGCTTTTTGTAGCTGCAAAGAAATACATTAAAATACTGGAAAACTTGTATACATTTTATTAGCTTACTCTGCCGGTTAGTGTCAGTGCTCGCTTGCGCATCAGCGGTTTGTTGGCTGACTCGCCGCCGCTTAGCTCTCGTTGTTCACGCTCCACAGCTTGCATCATATTAGCGGCGCCTTCATCGCCCATCAGTCGATCAATTTCAGTCACTTTCTTCTTCTTGGCCTGGCTACCGGCTCCATTGGGCACATTCGGTGTTTGTGAGCGACGCTTGGGTGGCGACGCAGCATTCGTTTCGGCCAATTTGGCGGGTGTGACGGAACGTTTAGCAGACACCTTCTGCGGATCTTTCGGCGTTGACGGTCGCGTCTTCTTTGACACGGTTTCCGTATTGCTTGCTTTAGGTGGTACCGATGTTGTTGTACTTGTAGTTGTTATTGTTGATATTGTTGTTTGTACATTTGTTGTCGAATTTGTGTTAGCCTTTGGACTTGCATACTGCGCAAAGGACTTTTGCGTTTCAGGCACATCTGGATCCCATATAATTTTACGTTTTATAACACGCGTACGCTTGAAACCTAAAAAAAAATTGTATTAGTCACATTTAATTTAACTTTATATATAGATAATTCTTACCTGGGGTTTCTGCATTGTTGTTGGGCTGCTCTACAGGTGGTTTTGGCTTTTCCAGGCTTTTCGCGGTAACAGATTTCAACATTACCTTAACGCTGCCCACCATATGAGGCACATCAATTGATGATTTGACCTTCTTGACGAGCGGCTTCTTTGTAACAGGCATTTCGTTGGTGATTGCGTTTGAGTTAGATGCTGTATCGCTGCTACTATCATACTCGTTCCAATCATCATTCAGCGAGCTGATGATATCTTGCGACTTTTGCTGTTCTTTTTGCTTGTTGTTCGCCAGCTCTTTGCGTCGTGCTTTATTGGCCTTTAGGTCCGCCATTTGCTCGAGTGCGACGGCTCTCGCTTGCTCCGGAGACAGTTTTGTCTTACCCACAGAAAATTTGGATCCAATTTTTAAGGCACTTGCACTGCTTTTCGCAGTTGACAACAATTCAGGACTGGGTCCACTAATATTGTCTTCATCATCAATTTCCATGATCTCATATTGTCCCTCACCCTCGATAGTAACACCCACATTATCCAGTTCAGCTAAAGCCAGCTCAATACTGTTTTTTTGTGGCTCATCAGTTTGCTCCTGCTCCTGTTCCTGATCGGTGCCCTTTAACAGAGCAATAAGATCAACTTCCTCCAATGTCGTCGCTGGCTCTGGCTCCTCCTTGACAAGCGTTTTGTTGACAGGAGTACAACGTTTTGACTTCACTATATCATCTTTAAGTTGTCCATCTTGGTTGCTCCCACTGCCATTTTCTGATTTGATTGCCGCTTCAACATTCACTTCTGCCGTCTTCACTTCCTCTTCTTCATCTTGACCCGACTCTATGTTATGCTGAATGTTGTGCATTTTGGCTATTTCCTGCTCCAATGAGCTCAACTCATCAAGCTTATCGGCTTTTGCCTCACCATCGTCGCACAAAATTTTCTTTTCTTCATGTTTGGAATCGGATGCGACCGCTTTTTCTGCTTCTTCTTCCTGTACTATGCTGTTTATTTCTGATGCTACTGCCACTTTATGCTTCTGCTGGACATCTAAGTCCGTGTCACTAACTTCGGCCATATTCCAAGTGCTATTATGTGTCTATTACTATGGTAACGTTTCCAAATTCCTTTGCACTTGACTGTTTTTAATAATTTCTATTTTTCATGCACTTGCTGCAACAGCGGCCATTTTATAGTGATGAATGTACCATTAAAAAATATTCGATACACATTAAATGTATCGGGAAATTTGGTCACTCTTTAACCGTACATTTAAATACTAGCAATGAAATATATATCGATAGTTGACATCGATGGTTTTGACAGCTCTAGTTGCTACCCCCCACACCACTCCGATGAATACTTTATAGAAAAAAATCTCATCTGCAGCCAGGATAAACGCTGATTGATAAGAGGGGTAAATTTGTTTATTTTCACGCTCTGTTAAAATAAGAAAAGAAATACACACAACATCAAGTGTGCAGCAATTGTTTAAACATTAGCGACAAACGTTGCTAACCGCTCGATCGTGGCGGCGACAACAACAACAACAACGGCCAAAAGCTAAACGGCAAAATATACAAAAATTGTGTCCCAAATTTTTGGTGGCAAGACGGACGAAAGGATGTGGGACTCCTCAATGTTTCTGAGCACATTGACGCCAAAGTTCTATGTAGCACTAACTGGCACTTCGAGTCTAATATCAGGCTTAATACTAATTTTCGAATGGTGGTATTTTCGCAAATACGGCACCTCGTTCATAGGTGAGTAGTTTTTTTTTTTTTTTTTGAATATGCTGAATTGTTGCAAGCATTCAAAAAATGGTTATTTTGCAGAGCAAGTTTCGATCAATCACATTAGCCCGTGGATCAATGGCAACGATGCGCAATCAGATAATGGCAGCAGCAGCAGCGGATCCAGCAGCAGCAGCAATGGAGGTGGCTGTGGTGGCTCGAATGGGGCAGGTGGTTCAGGCGCTAATTCCAATTCAGGCAACAGCTCGGGCACTCCCGAGTGCAAAGTGTGGCGCAATCCATTAAATCTCTTCCGTGGCGCAGAGTACCAACGTTTCTTTTGGGCCACCAGCAAGGAGCCATTGACCTACTATGACATGAATCTGAGTGCACAGGATCATCAGACGTTCTTCACCTGCGAGGGCGATGCTGGGAAGGAGGAGTATGAAATTATGCAGACAGCGTGGCGTGAACGTAATCCCATGCAACGCATCAAGTCGGCACATAATGCGCTTGAAATAAATGCAGAGTGTGCACCGGCTTACATACTCCTAGCCGAGGAGGAGGCTATGACCATATTGGAGGCAGAGAAGATACTCAAGACAGCGCTCAAAGTAGCCGAAATTAATTATAGAAAGTCGCAGGCAACACAACACCAGGGCTCCATAGCAGATGGTGTACATCGTAGGGATACGAATGTGTTGATCTATATTAAGCGTCGTTTGGCCATGTGCGCTCGAAAGCTTGGCAAACTGAAGGAGGCGGCCAAAATGTTTCGTGATCTAACAAAGGAGATACCCTCTATCATGAGCGTGCTGAACATACATGAGAATTTGATTGAGACGCTGCTTGAGATGCAGGCATATGCTGATTGCCAAACGATCTTGGCCAAATATGACGATATTTCGCTACCCAAATCGGCGACAATCTGTTATACAGCTGCATTGCTAAAGGCTCGCGCCGTTGCTGATAAATTTTCACCGGATATTGCGTCAAAGCGTGGTTTGAGTCCGGCAGAGATGAGCGCCGTCGAGGCCATACATCGTGCGGTTGAATTTAATCCGCATGTGCCTAAATATTTGCTGGAGACAAAGCCATTGATTCTGCCACCGGAGCACATATTGAAACGTGGCGATTCGGAGGCCTTGGCGTATGCGTTCTTCCATTTGAAGCACTGGAAACAGGTGGAGGGGGCATTGAATCTGTTGCATTGCACCTGGGAGGGCACATTCCGTATGCTGCCGCATCCGTTGGAGCGCGGACATCTCTTCTATCCATATCCGACGTGCACCGAGTGCGCCGATCGTGAATTGCTGCCAGCCTTCCATGAGGTCTCCGTCTATCCGAAAAAGGAATTACCCTTCTTTATCTTATTTACGGCTGGTCTCTGCTCATTCACGGCTCTATTAGCCCTGCTCACGCATCAGTATCCGGAGCCAATGGGGCTGCTGGCACAGACCGTACTTACCTGGATATTGTATCCGATACAGTTGCTCAAGGAGCGCATCGAGGCATTCTGGCCGTGCAATTTGCTCCAGCAATTGTCGCGTGTTTAATTTAGCTAAAACTGCAAAACGAAAGCCAACGCACACACACACACAAACACCCACGCCCACTCTGTCTCTCTACACTCACACACTCACACATACACGCACACACCTACAACACACACTTCAAACTCAAAGTAAAATCAGGCATAGCAAGGATTAGGCGTCCAAAGCCAAAACCCAAAACAAAATCTCTCACAACTACAATAACAAAAACATGCATATACATACTTATAAATATATATATATATATATATATATATATATATATATATTTATATTTATATATACACATATATATTTTGGATCTTTGTCTGTGTTTCGTGCAAAATAATAAAACAAACAAGTATGAATGAATGCTCAGCTCTTTCATGAAAACTCGTTCCTATAGCTATATATATACACATATATATATATATATGAGAGTTCAGCTCAACATATTCGACAGCAATATATGTAGATACCCCCTTAGTTGATGTGCTGTGTGTGCTTTGAATTTTTCTCTTTTTAAGTTTTTATTTTATACAATTAGTTTTACATTTTACAAAAAAAAAAGCAAATACAAAATTGATTATTTGAATATTTATTTTACAAATTTAATTTGTGTTCTTTTACTTTGAGTATAGATATTTTTAATTTGGTTTGTGACCATTTTATAAGTCGCATATTCTATAGTAACCCGGGCAGACATCACATTTCTTGTGCTCTTGCGTACCACCATTAGGATTTAGGGCCAAAAAGTAATCCCGCACAGCGGACAATATTTCCGAAAAATATTGTTTCAGCTCAGCAATCGAATATTCCGCATAATTATCTAAAATGTGTACGCCAATGCGATATAGCACCGTTTCGGTGGCCAGATAGAAATTCAGCACGTTATATATATCTTGCCAATTATCTCGCATGAATTGTTCTGTCATGCTCAGAACGTATTTCATTACTTCGGCTGACAGAATGTCCCCCAAGGAGAGCAGAGCCGTTTCAAAGCTCTCTGCATTAACTATATGCTCGAATATCGACGGTCCATAGCTGTCAAGGGTGATCATTACACCGTTGCACACCAGACTGCTGAGTCTCAGCACATCAATGCCCTCGCCATATTTGCTGTTCGAATTTTCCACCTGATTGGTGAGCGTTGGAATTGGTTGCTTTAGCCAGGCATCACCTCTCAGAGCTGATGCTGGCATAGAGATCTGCCCATTCACTTTGTGGCTCTCTGGGATTGACTGCGTCACCTTGCCAAGCACATCCGTTCCCTTATTGTGCTGCAAGTTCGCTCGCAACTCGGCGCCAGTAGTTTTCACCTCGTTGTTTAATATCAAGCCTTTGCCATCCGAATCGAAGGTGGGTCGAATGCCTTTCCGATTCAATTCCTTATTGATCTTGTAGAGATCATTGAACTCCTTTCGTGATGGCATCTCGTTCACATTGCGAATGATGTCCAGCTTGCCTTTGGATGCACCTCGGGTGCGTATCGTCTCCTTTGACAATTTGTCAAACATACGTCTGCAATGGAGACAATTAAAATTTAATGTTTTTTCCCTAATTTTATAAGTTTCGCAATAAGGGAAAGTCCCCTGCTACAATACAATATGAATTATGATAAGATTAAAAAACGGGCCATAACTTAACATAACATAACATAACCTCTTAAAAAGGAAAGATAAGTATACCTCTGTCGATTGCTCAATGTTTCGCGATAAGCGCCTATCCGATTATTGGTTGTTTCATTAATAATCGTCGATGCGAGCTTGAAATTGTAGACGCTATGCGTGAACAGCACCAGTGACGCGGACAGCTGTAAAGCATCCATGGCAGAGATATCGTCGCCATCTATGTATTTCTGCCAAGTAAATTGAAGGTGTTATATAACGGAGATATGTGCGTAATAAAAAGAATATCTAACCAAAACCAGATCAACAATGCCGTGGGCCAGGCCCGTTCCTGATATCATAATGCTGGAAATGTTCATGGTATTGACCGTCAGCTGGGTAATCTGTGAAATAAGGAGGTTAGTCATCGTCTTAGGTAACGTATTTCTAAAGCTTACAGCTCCCACTTCTTTTCCTGCATTGGCTGCGGCAGTCAACAAGCTTGTGGCGCCCGCAGCACCTAATGCCACAGTGCCACCCCCAATGCCCAGCCAATGACCGCGGGCCGTGGGATCGGTTATACTAATTGATTGCTCATGAATGCTGCGATCCGTCAGTTGGGAGGCAGAGCGACCCAGTCCATAAGCACCACAGACTACAGCCGTAAAGCCGGCTGCAGCGAGCACAGGACCAGCAATAGGCACAGAAAGCAAACCCAACAGCGGCACACTGGCTGCTGCCAAGCCAGTTGCAGTCGACGTCGTATCCACAGCATTCAGTACCCTTCTTTTGGTAGTTGCAGCGGGCGTTAGCCATGTCTCCAGCTGAACCACATTGTTGATCAGATTGTAAACACCACGACGTGGCGCAACCATGATACCCTTGGGCAACTGATTATTCTCCACATAAGCGCTCCAGTTCTGATACACTCGTCCATTATCGTCCACAAAGATCATGCAGCAATCGGCGCTGTTGCCGCTATCTTCGCTAATTGCTGCAATTATGAGATTTATCAATAAGGCAACAGTCAGTAATTAGCGCATTAGGATCGGTCAAAGGATCTATCTCATAGCGCATGACTAATTGATTTTACATATGCTTCTCACTTACAAATGCAACGTCGTACACGAACCACAGGATGACAAGACCATTTCGTAGATTTTATGGCCGCCATGTGGTCCGTTTCGTCGGTGGCAACCATAACATAGAAGATTGATGTTAGCGATTGGCGATTGGTGTATTTACCTGCAATGATATACCCACATATGAATGATATACTATCTCTCTTGAGTATCGAACACTTACGCTGCACCCAAATGGCATCGAAAAAACCCTTACGTAATTCTACATTGGCAGCTTTTTGTTTCAATACCTTCTTTTGTGCTTTTTCTAATTCTTTGCCTTCCAGGCCGGCTGGCACTTCAGGATCTGGTATTAAATTCTTGATTTTGACCTTCAATATATCGGCCTGTTCAGCTGATAATCTTTTTAAATTATAAATTGAATGTTAGAGATACATACATATGTATATATATTGCGCACTACTTACAGATCCCAAATAATTTCACTTCCATAGCCAAGGGATTCGGCAAAGGTTTGCTGCACATCCCGTGCGCTGTTTCGTTTCACATTATTATTAACACTTTCTGCTTCTTCCGCCATTATTTCTATTAGACACAACCTCCCCTTGATAAGGTTCAACTTAAATTGGCCATTTTATTGGGAAACACATGCTTTTATTTGTCCGATCGCGTCATTTTGATTGTAAATCAACTGCTAGCGATGGCATTCGAACCAAATAATTGATCAATACGCAGCGTTGCGCATTATTAGTAATCGATGTTTTTATAGGACAGCTTGAATTTATGGTACTTATCGAATAAGTTGCATAGAAACAGCCGTTATGGCTTCATATATATGTACGTGAACAAAATTTAATAGCAAATATATTAATCATTTGTGTTTTGCATTTATATGAAAGGCACGCATTTAAGAACTCTATGGAATCATATTTTTTAAGTAAAAAATAGATGTGCGCAACATACTTTCAATAAAGGACAGATGAATACAATCATAAAATTTCCAGACCGGTTTTTGGCGTATCCAAAAATAACACAAATCGTGTTTCTTTTTCGGACTGGCTTTCTTTGATTCTGTGACGTTGAACTTGGCATTCTTTTCTTTTGGCAGCGACGACTGTAGGTAACACACAATTGAATGACTCAGTCTATATTCATTTCACCCGTGACATTTCCCGAATTTCTATTTCCCCTGAATTTTCTATCTCCCACCAAAAATCTATAACTGTATAATTATAACTTATAACGCAAACAGAGCTTATTAATGCACTTATTTACACACTTTTTAGTTCTCAGAAATCATTATATATATTGTCATTATAAAAGTTAGAATTTCCCTTGAGGTGGGTGGGGTGGAAACATGCGCTTAGCATGCTAGATTGCGAATGAGCTTTTTTTGCTAGCCATGTACCACAAAAGAATCGGGAGAGAACTAAATTACCAATACAATAAGAGCGATAGAGAAAGGGAGAGGAGTAGACCGAGCGAATTAATCATTTAATGCCGCACAACTGGACATTAAACAGACAATACTCTACGAGAGAGAGAGAGAGAGAGAGAGAGAGAGAGAGAGAGAGAGAGAGTGGGAGAGAGAAATATCGTGTAATGAAACGAATTCGCCTTGCTGTGAGATGTGGGTCTGTGCCTGGGTCTGGGTCTCTGTCCGAACAGTTGTTTAGGCAATAGCGTACGAGGCGGTTGTAAAGCGTTCACGAATTTTCGCTCGACGAGATTTTATTAATTGTATTCGCGCAGATACACGACGAACAGCATAAACGGATAAAACAAACAAAGAACGACGTTCATCATTAAAATTCTTGACGATCTCAATTGAAGAAGTTCACTAATTGTAAAAATGAGCAACCTACAGCAGATTACGCTTGATATGGATCAGTTAGCCAGTCAAAAAACACCAGCTAAAAATCAAGTAAGTTTTCATCCAGCAACTACATTTGCATACCAACAAAACCAACAACATCAAAAAACACCTTTACAATAACAAAGCGCGGAAAAAAGCGAAAAAATTGTTTACATTTTTTTTTCTATTTGCCAACTGAAACATCAATCAAATCTACATATATTAGAGAAGCCACTAGGATTTATATACACACATATATGTATCTGTCTGCATCTGTATTGTATATAGTCTAGCGAAGTCTAGCTGATAATTACAGTGCACACATTGTTTGGGGGAATATATTCACTCAGAAGAAGTGGAGAAAAAAACCCTGATTAGTCACTTTCTGGACCAAATATGAATCGTTGAGTTGGAAATGGGAAATACATAATCATTTATGCCACATACATAAATGAATTTATCAGCATTTATGACGGAAGCTGTGGTGCATAATAAAAATATATTTGCATTTGATTAGCTTTGTAAACAAAGCGTAAAAATCACGGCCAGATTTATTACTCAAAGGCATTAAATAATAAGTTTTATATAAATATAAACTAAGTAGAAGATCTAATTAAGATTATTTGCACTATTTTTTTTATTTAAAGGTTAACCACGCTGAGCCCTTGGACGTTGTAGATGGACGTAAAGTGCGCATACCTCGAGCAGGTTTGTATTTTACATCACTTAACCATTGCCAAAGCTAACTTAACTTAATCATTCATTAATTAAATGCTCTCTATCACCAACCTGTGCTTTTATACATTTTCAACTTTGCGCCCGTAACAAATAAATGCGTAAGATGCTTCTCTTTCGTATAACTTCGTAATACTTAATGGAATATCTCTTAACCACAGTGCCTGAAATCGATGACGACGATGATGAACGACCTTCTGCGAATGGCTTCAATGCGGGCGTGGACGATGGCTTGCTAGGTAATGGAGACGAGAACTTCGGCACCAGTGTACCTCAGCCGAATGGAGGACGTCGTCCAAGCTTTGCTTTTCCGGGCTATGATGGTCCTGGCTTTGTGACCATCAATGGTGTAGATACACCCATACCGGATGTGAATGCCTATCAGCATAAGAAGACACTCGCTCAGGGCATGATGGATCTGGCGCTGCTCTCAGCCAATGCGAACCAGCTTCGTTATGTACTTGAAACGAATCGCCAGCACCCGTACTTTTATCCCAGCTTAATATTCATATCATTAAGCATTATATTTCAGGTATATACTCCCCATATGCATATTGCCAAATTTGCAGTGCAGTTATTTATTGGCGCTTTGCTTACCTTTCAGATTGCAGTCGGCGTTGGCCTTATTTGGAATGGCAGATACAATATTAAGAACGAACGCGAAATATGTCGTGCGAACAAAATTAATAATTACACAGTCATCGGCATCTTTATTGTGACCGTTGTCAATGTTTTAATATCTGCCTTTGCTGTGGCCGATGCCACGCCCCCAGCCACAACGTAGTGTAATAATTAATTAATTAATTTTTGCTTTACAAATTATATGTTTAGGCCAATACTCGAAATATTTTTAAAATTCATATTTCTCATTTGTATATAATAGTGCTATTGTGATAATAAAAAATTGAAGCTAATTTACTTATTTATTTTTGAACGATCACCATTTGGCGCCTTAGCTATCGAATTTCTATCGATGTATGGAAACTTAACATAAGATCCTAGCAAGTTTGGGACAATGCTCACTATTAAATATTTATTTTTATATATTATATGCTCGCTAAATAGTTAAAATAGTCTTAAAATAAGTTTATTTCATTTACGATATAATTTTCATTCCAGTTTAATAAAAAAAACGGCGGCAACAAGTTAGTTTGCTTTTGGGCGCCATAGCTACCGAGTTTTCAATCGATAATTTGTCTAAGCAATAATGGGATCTCAGCTGTAAAACAGCCCTGTGTAGTTTACTAAATATATTTCTTAGTAGCCCTGGCTGTTGACTTCTTGTCAAAATATTTTGCTCTTGGGTTTAGCTGAATTTTAAGCAATTATAGCTTAATTTGTGTAAATAACATGGCGAAGATATTGAAAGTGGTAAATATTTAGGTAGTTAAAGCTATTGACATGTTTATGGCAATTGTATTAAGTGCCATTGGTGCACTTGTTATGGTTATGTCATCGAGTGTCATCGCTTCTTGTACAATTTAAGTTTTTTCTAATGCTTAACTGATTGAATCCTTGTTTACTGTAGTCCACAGGATTAACCGGCTTGGCTGTGGCCACCAATCCCCACCACACACTGTCCGCGCTGTACGGCAAGATACTGCGTGCTGTTAGCAAAATGCCGCAGGAATCAGCCTATCGCAAATACACCGAGCAGCTGGTGAAGCAGCGCGCAGATGCTGTAGCAAAGGTAAGCTCAGGTGGCAGATAGCTTGCAGCGAAGAATGTATTCTAATTGGTTTACTACAGAACAAGGACATCGCCGCACTGGAGAAGTCGGTGGCCTGCGGCCAAGTAGAGGAGCTTATTGTCCAAGCCGAGAACGAATTGATCCTCGCACGCAAAATGCTTGGCTGGAAGCCATGGGAGAAACTGGTGCAACAAGCACCTGCCAAGCAATGGGACTGGCCTCCAGCACAAATCCTCGAACCCAAAGTCTAATAAACAAACACACACACATTTGAATTGTATGCAATAAAACCTAAGGTCGAAATCTAGCCTCTGATTGTTTTGATTACCCTATAAAAGAGCATATGGACAAAAAGAAAATGGATAAAGGGTATGTGCATGGTAAAGTCTATAAAACTATATGTATTTTGGTAGAGAATGATCAGCTAAATCGATCTGGCCATATAAGTCTCGTCCTACATGAGTTCATTTGAAGTATTTAGGGTATTTGCAAGTCGAGCCAGCATTACTTGTTTCGTCATCCGTTGCGATAAGCTAAGCAATTTGCATGAATCCATCAGTCAGTCAGTATATTCTCAGCATGCGGGCTTATCACATCTGTTTGCTGTTGTTCCTCATCTTGGGCATAGGCTATGCAGCTGCTGCTCCATTGAACGGCCTTCGACAACGCCGTCAGATCGACTTGACGCTCTCCGCTGAGCACGACGACAAGGATGATGAAACTGAGCTGGCATTGGAGGCGATAGCCGGCCTGTGGAGCAGTGCAGACAGCCGTACCAAGATCGATGGCTCCGCTCGAGTGGTGCATCGCGCCAACGGCTTGCAAACGGGTAACACTAGCTATCAAGCACGCGTCCATCTACACCATGATTATAAAAGCAATCCGTATCAAAATTAAACTATAAAACAAAAGGTGCCGAGCAGGATTGGCGACTCGGAGTGCGTGTCGTGTTCAGCTGAGGAGCAAGTAGGAAGGAGTATGGAGGATGAGTGACAAATGGACAACGGCTTCGCTAGCTCGTGACTAATGGCTAATGAACGATTCCTAATAGCACATTTACAGATTGCGTGCTGGCTGTCCGCTTGTTTCTGTTTTTAATTGATAACATTTTGACCTTTTCTACGATTGCGTTTGTATTCGAGTTCATCAACTAAATTGTAATTGCAAAAAAGCCTCTTGGGCTGATTGCTTTATTGTTTACAAATGTTCTGCTTAAGATTAAAAAAAACAACAACAATTGCACATTGAAGCAAATACAATAAATATAGTTGGATAAGTATAAATGCCAGCAGTTTAGATATTATTTAAAATCTGAGATGGTTCGTCTAATTGAAGCGCACGCCCATTGCCTCTTGCTTCTTGAGCTCGTCGACGACAAAGTCGCGGAACTCCTCGTACGCAACATCAATGTCCCGATTGTGTATGATCTTATGGAAATTGCCAGGTGTCAAGCCGTATTCAATTTCAACCTGTGCCGCATCGAGACGCTTTCTCAGAGTTTCCTCCGTTTCGGTGTTGCGTTTACGCAATCGCCTCTCCAGCTCGTCGATGGTCGGTGGATTGTTGAAGATCAATATGGGATTGAGATCGGTTTTCTTGATCTGTTCCACACCCTTTTGTTCGATATCCAAGATGCAGACGCGTCCCTGGCTCTGGATATCGCGCACTGCCTCCTTGCTGGTGCCGTACATGTTTCCAGTGAATTCCGCTGTTTCGATGAACTCATCGTTGGCGATGGCCTGCTCCATTACGGGGCGCTCCACGAAATAGTAATGGACGCCATGCTCTTCGCCTTCGCGTGGCCGCCGTGTTGTGTGCGACACACTGAATCCAAATTTATCCGGAAATTCGGCAAATAAGCGTTTTAGCAATGTGCTTTTGCCTGACCCGGATGGGCCACACAACACAAGCGGACGTGGCCCAGTAACTGTTTGTGCCATTAGCGTGCTACTGGCGCTGCCGAACGCGCGATTAACAATGAACAGAAAGCTTATCATATTTGCGGCTGAAAGCTAACTAGTTTGGCTAAATTAACCCGTCGATGGACAACGCTACTAAGCGATTCGGTTGTATTCTCATTTAGTGACGGTCGCGTGTACACGAGTGGGATGAAATCTATGCCTTACATTGTGGTGGCGCGCAAGCATGCGATATGTCTTTGCAAGCGATGAGTGCGATAATGATTATCGACCAGCTGCTGTTATCGAGCGCGAAATGAAATACAAGTTAATTGGTTTAAAAACTGTTTATATGCATATTCTTATATTTTGTTGGTTTTCTTTATATTTAGCATAGAATTTCAAACACATACACATTGAAACTAACGCTGATGCTGCTGCGGTTGTTTTTTTTTGTTTGTTTTTTTTTTTTGTTTTTGCTTATTGTTATCGGCTGTTATTAATTTGAATTCGAATTACAATGCATGTTTTAAACTTAGTTAGCTAAAAATAATTATGGATTTTTCACTTTTCTTGTTTACGTTTTATAATTTGATCACAATTTGATTTCGCATGCCCAAAAATGAATTTTGGTTTGTGTGTTCCGAATGATTCGCCTAAATGTAACCTTCATCCTGTTTCTGTTCCTGTTCCCATTTCCATCCGTTCCCACTCCATATACACGTATATAGAGATGTATATATTAAGCCTATTTTGCCGAAAATGTGACTAATTTCGATCATTATATATGCAAGCTGCTGCATTCCTTTGAGATACTACAAAATACGCTAAATTTCAGTCAATATTACGTGCGTTCTAATATTCCATCTTTTTTCTTTTTGTTTTGTTTTCTTTTGTTTTTAGTTGTTCGAAAGGCATTTCCATGAAAATGGTTGAAAACTTTGGATAACCTGCGTTCTTGGTATGTTGGGTTTTGTGTAATGTATATGGATATTTTATGTACAATATTATATTAACGGTATTTGACGTTTTCGATGCATACGTGATTTGGGGTTTTTAACGAGTTAAGATCAACTAAATAACAGTACTATCGTCTTTGAAGTGGGATCATAAATTGAGTCTAGTAAATTATTAAATTGTATATTATATTTGTATATATATATGTTTATATATATATGTTTATGAAATGGTTTATGTACTGGCAAAAACTAAAATTATTGTGCAATTCTTGCTGCAATTTATTAGAGCCCTAAAAAATTTGTTTACAACTAAAAACTAAAATGCGTATGTTAAAAATTGATTACAAAATATTTGCATAAATACACATACATATATATTATTCAGATATATATATATATAGAAAACTAAACTTGTACAACCCCAGAGAACTGAGTTTCAGGGGTGTAGAGGGCGAGCGAGTCGTCTGGCCCCTTCAAAAATGGGGCTATCGTCTTATAAACTATCAATCAATGAATTAATTATTCATATATGTTATATATATATATATCCAATTACTATAGGAGCTTAAAAATTTTCATTCGTCAATGATTTTTTGTTTAATTCTTTTTTTTGTGAATTTCTATTGCTAATTGCAAGTGTAATTGTAATTGTTGTTTGGAAAATGAGAGCGAAACACGACAAGTACGAACAAAAAAGGAAACTACTAACAATTACGTTGAAGATGTTGTTGTTGCTTTTCTTTTCATTTTTTGTGTTTATAATTATGTATAATTAATTATGTAATAATTATTGTTTACAAATAGTATAATCATTGTATTTACGTGTACATTATGCTTGCTTGCGTAAATTATAAAATTACCTAATCAAGAAAAATTATAAAGTTAGTTAGTTGTTGTTGCTGTTGCTGTTCATATTAAGCCTCGTTCTCTGCTTAGGCCTTCCAATTGTTCTGGCGACTGCCGCTGGGTCCACTCGGCTGCTGTGGTGGTATCATCTCGAGTAGATATTGACGCTGTAGCTCTGCCGCCCGTTGTATGTCAGCCAAGCTGGTTGCATTGCTTGAGTTCTTCGATGAGCTGGAAGCAGAGCTGCTCTTCTTGTTGTTATTGTTGAAAGCTGTGTGCGGGAAAAAAGAAAAACCAATTAGTTTCAATTTAAAAAAACTAACAAATTAGTTGAGCTAAGTTAACATTTCAGTCATTTGATATTTTGCTGTAAGCTCTGACTGTTAACGAAATGTAAAAGAACAGAATATTCGTTTACATTTGCTGTTAGAGTAGTATGATGTTACATTAACAGCATATGATTACATTAAGAGAAAATAGCACTGTTATTACACTCCTTATTTTTTAACATACTTCTGTTAACTTCATATTAATTCTACAAAACTCGCTGTTAACTCACCTGCCACTTGTGCCGCCTGCGCCATGGCCATTTGGTAGGTGTATAGTAGTGGTGCAAATTGCATCATATGCTGCGGATTACCGCCCAAGCCTTGACCAAGTGCTGTAAGCAAAGCAAATCACGTTAATAGTATATTGGCATACAGTAAACTCTGGCAGTGGACGTACCTCTAAATAACTGCTGCTGAAATGCTTGCATGGCAGCTGCTGGCGAGGCGTTGCCTAAAGCTGCAGCTGGATTGTTGGCTGCCGTCGAGGCGTTGCCAAAGTTGCCCAATCCACCCAGAGCTGCCAGATTGCCCAATTGATTGAGATTGCCCAAACTTGCCAGGTTGTTGATATTCAGACCACCCATACCGCCCAAAGCGCTGAGATGCGCCGCTGCCGCCAGCGTGGCTGCTGAATATTTGTCATAGTTTTGCGCCTGCTGCTGTTCGCGTTGCTGCTGTTGTTGCTGCTGCTGCTGTTGTTGTTGCTGCTGTTGATGGTGGTGTTGATGATGATCGCGATCGGCACGCGTTGAGGAGCGACCTGTTGAAGATGTCGATGCCTCGTGATGATGCGCAGCTGCAGCTGCCGCTGGACCGGGACTAAGTATACCTGCTTGCTGTGCAGCAATTGCCGCTGCTGCAGCTGTGGCTGCAGCACGAGAAGACCGTGGCGTGCTTCCCGATTGATTCAGCGGCGGTGGCGGCGTGGGCTGACTTTGTGCGCTGGGCGGCGGTGGCGTTGGCCGTGGTGCTGGCGTAGGTGTCTGGCACTTAGTAGGTATAACAGTAACCGAAGGTGGCAAATTAACTAACGCAGCTGCAGCTGAGGCATGCGATGCTTGCAGCTGTTCACGCTGCTCCCTCAGCGCCTGCTGATGAAGCTGTTGCTGATGCTGCTGTTGTTGCTGCTGCTGTTGTTGTTGGTGCTGCTGCTGTTGCTGCTGATGGGCGGAGGCGACGCTGTTGGCATTGTTGCTGGAGGCATGCGCTTCAACGGGCGATGGGCTGCTCTGGCTGCTGGCTAAGCGCTGCTCGATCTCCTGCTCCTGCTGCAGCGCCTTCACAAACGCCTGCTTCAGTCGGTTCGTGTGCTCGGCCTTCAACGCCTTCTTCACATTCGATGTCACGCACTGCTCACAAATCACCTTCGCCTCCTTGTTGGCTGTTGAACAAGAGAAACATCTTAATCTCCATACCAAATAAGAAGGATTCGATTACTTACTCTGCTTCTCCCATTTCCAAACGGGCGTAAAGTCTATTTTGCATTGGGCACAGCGGAAGGGCGCTGCCACAGCGTTTGCCTTCTTATTCACGGTTAAATAATCCACAACTGTCTCCAGTCCAAGCAGATAAACAAAGTCCGTATTGCTTGGATTTGGAATGAAGTGCATCTCTGGCGGTGGCGGCTTTGGTGGCGGTATCTAGAAGCGGCATTCAAGTATAAATATGTCAATTAAGGTTATATACATATGTTGATCAGTGAAATTATCTATTTCTCAATAACAGCAAATAGCAAGCAGCAAAGAGGGGTTCAAATATTTTAATTTCACAAACAAGACTGATCTAATAGGAGATATCCATCCTAGCGTAGCTATTTCGAGTCAGCTCATCGTCCGGATCAAGAATTTATATATTTTATGAGGTCTACGGCGGCTGCTTCTGTCTGTTGCATTAATATCCCTGTTAAATTCATACATATAAAATCTGTCCTATACTCCAACATCAATCGATATTTATCGATTCATGCTTTAAGTGCAAATCGTAGCTTTTTTGAGACAATTTTAAGTTCAATTGATATCAAAATATATATCCAAATTAGTTTGTAACTAGCTCAAGGCAACTATCTAGAAATCTATATTTGTCGCTTTTATAATATGAGTTATCGAAGCTGTCATTTGACTTCTTGCAGCTCCCAATTGTTTTCGGTCACGTCCTGCTCTCTTTTTATTAGGCTACTCAGCTCACCTGAAGCAAAGTCTTTTCGAGCTGTTTGCGCAACGCCATCTTAGCGGCTGCCTGCCGCTGAGCAGGAGTCTGAGTCTCCTCGCGCTGTACGTTGCGATCATTCTAAAAAAATTGAAAGATTAGATATATGTATATAAAGACACGAGTCAATGTCTACGACTTACCTTCAAATCGTTAAGCTGATTCTGGTGTTGCGATTGTAGTGGAGGCGCCGGCGTTATGGATACGGAATTGCTAATGGTCCCAGGTACCTTCGAATTATCCGAAATATTAGGCTGCATGTTTTGGCAATTATTTTTTATTTATATAATTTTTTAGTAGTAGAAATGTAGAACAAAAATTAGGCAATTGATGCTGGGCTGATGGCAAAAATGGCTTTACTCTATATATTTTTTCTCCTTCTTTCTTTCTCTCTCTCTCTTTTTCTTTACACTTAAGGAATACAAAGGCTTTCGATTGAAATAAATTTGGTTTATGCAAAATGGTTAACAAAAGAAAAGTTAGCTGCCAATGGGCCCATATGGCGCAGCCTACTCGAATTGTTTAATATTATGATAATAAAAGAATATTTTTACAAATATTTTCTTCTCTCTCTTTCTTCGCTTTTCTTTCCTAATACTAGCGAGCAGGCTACGCAACACGTTCCAAGGCAGCTCAAGATGACAGTTATGTGTTTTTCTAGTGTTGCACAACGAATTATAGAAGCTATCGATAGGTTGATATGTCGATAAGTCTTTTCATCGATGTAGTTCGATAATTCGTGTGCTTTGGTGTTAGTGTTGGTAAGCGTGAGTTTTGTGCAATAATTTTGACTAGTGTTTTGCTTAACACTCAATAATACTCCAATCAAAAAGTGTTTTTTGTTGTGTTTCTTTTGGTGTTTGG